TGCTGATTTCCTAAGAAAAGCGAATAGAGGTGAGTTTGTATTGAAGTTCTGAATGTCTGGTGAACAGCTTGCTGCATTTCTTCATCTTTGTGCACATGTTATGAATGCATTATTAGCACGTCATCTTTGTCTTGGGCAGGGAAGAGCTTCAAGATTGCTGCCTCTCTTGTAGCTTTGCTACTTTGGTGGCTGGCTTCAGGAGGGAATATCAGCTTCATCACGTATGCGCAGCGAATGCTTTCACTCCAAGCTGTGAATCGGCTTCCCTGTCGCTTATCCCAAATTCAAAGCCTGCGGTTCAGATTTCCAGAAGAAAGTATACTGTACCTCAGTAAGGAAAGGGATTTATCAGAATGCAATGAGTTCATTTAAATTCCCCCATGGGGTTAAATCTTATTCCTAACATTTCCTTTGTGAAGATTTTCCCTTGTAAAGTCAATGAGGGTACTCACCTTTGAGTACCTTTGTAGATTCAGGTATTTTCTGAAAAGTAAATAGATACTCTATTTATTAGGTATTGTAGACTCCTTGAGATGGGGGGATTTTGTTGGCTACATAATGCAACCTCTTTGCTTGTGGCAAGACATTTGAAGCTACTATATCATTCCCAGTGTTGTCCAGTTCCTCCAGCAAGGGAAACTCCCCCATTTTTTTTCTCTGAGTACAGCAATTGGTTCCATTACTGACTGAATAAGGCCTCCTGTCAGGATGTGTCTCCTAATACAGGTAGTGATACTCGGCTTAAACCCCAATTGAGCCCAAAATTTCTGTTGCTAAGTGAAGCAGTTGTTAAGTCAATTTTGCCCCATTTTACGACCTTTCTTGCCACAGTTGTTAAGTGAATCTCTGCAGTTGTTAAGTTAGTCACCCAGTTGTTAAATGAATCTGGCTTCCCCATTGACTTTGCTTGTCAGAAGATCATAAACGGTGATCACATGACCCTGGGACACTGCAGCTGTCATAAATATGAACCAGTTGCCAAGCATCTGAATTTTGATCACTTGACCATGGGGATGATGCAAAGGTTGTAACTGTGAAAAATGGTCATAAATCATTTTATTCAGTGCTGTTGTAACTTTGAACGGTCGATAAATGAAGTGTTGTAAATCGAGAAGTACTTGTATTCCCCTGAAATCTAGATTCCTGTGATTTAACAATTAAATCCTGTCTTATGCTCCAGAAGAGAAATCTGCTGTATAATAAACAACTCTACCATGGGATGTTTGTCCTCCATCAGTTCCTTTAAGATTTCTTTGACAATGGAACTTTTTTTCCATAATTATGACTACTCTTATTCCCCCTCTGGTGTAGTATATTTACATTCCAGATTTAGATTGTTGCGGTGATGCAAATAACAATAGCACTTAGACTTATATACCACTTTACAGTGCTTTACAATCCTCTCTAAGCCATGTACAGAATCAGCATATTGCCCCCAACAATCTGGGTCCTCATTTCTTTAGAAAGATGGAAGGATGTGTCAACCTTGAGCCTGGTGAGATTCGAACTGCCAAATTGCAGGTAGCCAGAAGTAGCCTGCAGTACTGCACTCTAACCGCTGCTCCACCGTGACTCATACGGTCCATTTTCTATATATCATGGCGTAAACACAATCTTTCCAAGGGTGAACAATTGGTGTAATGTTGCAATTGTTCCCCGGAATAGGTATTTACATAATCCTGACGAGATCATATGAAGCACACCTAAGCAGATGTATTTTTTTTTTCCTTCTCTGCCTTCAGTAAATTTATTCCACATTCCTCACTCTTTACATTAGGGTAGCTTTTCCTTCTAACTGTATTCCAAACAGTTACTCTATTTGTTATACTCATTCTAGCTTTGTACTTTTAAAATCTGTATCGATATCAATTTGGAAATTATAGGAAGTCCCTTTGAGAATTATTGTGACTTTCTCCTGGTGACAGCCCATTATTAAACACCCATTGATTAGATCAGCATAGCCATCAAATCCAATAAACTTATTTATATTTAAGTGTTCTATTCTTTTTTCTGATTCTGTGCGCTTTTACAACTGTTCTTTTGTTGACAGAATAGGACTGAAGTCTGAAATGTAATTATTACATGTTTCCAAGTTTTTACATTTTTGGTTTTTTTCTGTAAAAAAAAATGTAAAATATGTTTTGCATTATTACAGTTGAGGTTTGGGTCAGCTATATGAAATCTCCAAAGTTCCTTTTTCCTACCACCAGAACACTGTTTGACTACAATGCTAAATTTTGATTTTCCACAAGAGATTCATGAAAACTATGGGTAAAAGTTTAAAATATTTCCTAACCTATTTTTAAAAAGTTTGTTTCAACTTTTTTAGATGAGCAAATCCACGATTGAATTAGAGCAAAAAATTGCCACTTGTGCACTTAATGATGTATTTCTGAAGCTGCATTAAACTGCAGGGAGTTCAAAATTACATAATTATAGCTGAATTTGCTCTCATTTATTTCCTGTATATATTTTATTTCTTAGCATTTATACTTCCATTCTTCTGAGGCGGTTTGTTTATTTAATTGGTTTATAAGCTCCCTCAGTTGCAGAGGCTTCATTACTTAATTATCCTATAGAAGAATTCAAAACAAAATAAATTCTTAACAAAAGCATAAACACAGGATACAAGATAACAAGAATTTGACAACAAACATTTCAAGTGCTTTTTCAGGCACTTGAATGGTTTCAGATTGTAAAGGTACCTGCAAACCTAGCTTGAAGCAGGGATTAGAGAGGAATGCCAAATTTTTATTCTTTAAAAAAAATGATTCTTTTTTTAAAAGTGTGGGCATTTTAATTTTGTTTGTAAGCTTTTCTGCATCTTTATGGGGTTAGTGTCATGTAAATTCAAGAAATAATTAAGAGGGCCAGTCTAAAGCCTAATAGTTATTTCCCCTCAAAAAATTTTTTTTGCTACATATATCTCAGCAGCATTTTTGGAAAGTGAAAATGAAAGGGGACTGCAACCCTGTCCTTTCTTTGTGTGTGTGTGTGAGGGAGAGAGAGAGAGAAATTCCTTGGCAACCCAAGTGCTTTGTGTCTTATGTTATGACCTGTGTTTAAAATAAATGTTTACTTACAGGTGGTTTGCGGGGAGTAATGGCCAAAATAAGAAGCGTTTTGTGAGAAAATATTTATTATTGTCAGGACTTCCATCCTGCTGTAAAATTGCTTTGCTTTGCAAGATGCTAGTCTGCCATAGGCAATGGGATAGGGAGTTACTTGGTGGGATAAGAAGGAGGGGGCTAGTATGAGAGGAATCAAAACTAAACTTTATACCATCCTGGGTGCCAGCAGTTTCAAGGTCATACCATGCAACGGACCACCAATTTGCCCGCTGAGCAAGGGACTGTTTCCAGAAAAAAGTGGGAAGGTGGGAAGAGGGAATATTAACCAGAAGTTTTGAACTTGAAACTATAGATTTGGCTTTGCTACATTGTAACCACTTGGCTTTAATAAGGTATAATTTCGCTGACAATGGACTCAAGAGACTTTCTTTCCTAACTGATCATTTATATCCATTAATTCATTTAAGGAATAGTTGAGTTTGTTACTGATCATCTGTTGCACAGCTTTATCCTTGCCTGAGCTTCTTCGTTTCATTTTCAGTATGGTTATAGGGACCCTGAGCCTCTTAGCCTTGGAGAATTTCAATTTGTCATCTTCATGCTGTTGAGATGCTGTTTGGAGTGGTGCGGTGGCCTAGAGGTGGAGCTCTCGCTTCACAATCAGAAGAGGCTGGGAGTTCGATCCTAGGTAGAGGTAGATATTTCTCTCTCTGGGCACAATGAGAATATATCTGCTGAACAAAACTCTGCATTGGCGACAGAAAGGGCATCTTGCCAGTAAACACTCTGCTAGCTCCATTGACTTGCCAAGACTCCATCCTGCAAGGGATTATGGGATTGTTAAAAGACGATGATTACTATGTTGAGTTGAAGAGTTTATAGCCTCCGTAGCAAACATTAATCTGTTCCAAGTCACTGAAGGCCTGGCATATGCCAGAGGTTGCAGATTAGCTCTAGCTTGTGTCTTGTGTGTTGATCTGGTTTTAGAGGACATTACCATCAGACTTCATCTCCCAGAATTCCCTAGCCAGCATCCCTTGGATTGCCTTTCAGCTCACTAGCGCAACCTTCCTGCTAAAGATTCGGTCTAATAGATTGGCCCACTACTGGCAACTTCTGACCCTGAGGGGTTTTAGAGGGAGTTTAGAGTTTCCCCTGAGAACCTGGTGGGCAGTTTAGCTGAAGATTTAGCTACATCCACTATGATTCACATATTAATATATTTATTTATTTTATTTTTATTGAGCTTGCTACTGGTGTGCTATCATCTGTTGCATAGCTTCATCCTTGCCTGAGCTTCTGCATTTCATTTTAAGTATGGCTATAGAGACCCTGAGCCTCTTAGCCTTGGAGAACTTCAATTTGTCATCTTCATGCTGAAGTACCCGTTGACAGGTAGGATGTTGTAGCAGACAATTTTGTGTACTATGCTTAGGACCGACTGCAGGCAGCACAGTTCCAGGTTGTCCAAGCCCAAAATTTCGAGCCTGGTGGCGTAAGGGATTCTATTGTGAGCAGAGGAGTGGAGGACTCTTCTCATGAAATATCTCTGGACCCGCTCGATCATATTAATGTCCAATATACAGGGTGGATTCCAGGCAGATGAGCTGTATTCGAGAATTTAATAAATATACTAGTCTTAAATCATATGGGTTTAAAGGCTTAGAAACTTACTGGAAACTGACCTAATAAATGCCATACTGATAAACGGGGGGAGGATTTCCCCCCCTTTTCTTTCTCTCTTTAGATTGTAAGCAACTTAGAACCTAGATCCGTCTCTCTGTCTATATTTGCTGACGTGACCGATATTAATTGCAACTTGAATGGCGAGAATATGACTTTACTTTCATAGTTACTAAAAAGAAAATGAACTGTGAATGTCATTTCTGGAAGCGTCTGTCTTTTCAAAAGATTCTCTGTATGTTACAGGATATTGAGGCAGCAGCAAAAAATCTACAATCCAGAGAGCACTTGCTTCTCCACCCTGAAATTGTTAACCTTGAAGTAAGTCCAAAACCATTCTTGTCTTTAATGCTGATATTTCAGCTCTTTTCTTCATCGTGCTGCTTAAATGAAATTAATCTTTTTTTTAAAAAAATGTGATTATTGTGCCTTCAGTATACTTTCAAGGCCCATTTTATCAAAATAAAGACAGTCTCCTCATTTCAGTTCAATATCAGTTTCTGTCATTTCAGTGCCATGTTCATTCCATTGTGAGAACTGAAAGCTTTCCAAGGTTTTTCCATCCCCCTTGTTTTATTACAGGTAAAATTATTCAGATGACCACAGGTGGGACCAGAATTGCTGTTGCTAAGCAAGGTGATGGTTAAGCGAATCGCACTTGATTTTTACAGCCTTTTTTTGCCATGGTTGTTAAGCAGATTACTGCAGCTGTTAAGTGAATCATAGGGTCATTGATAGAATCTAGTGTCCCCCATTGACTTTGCCTGTCGGAACTGACTGGGAAGATCACAAATGGTGATCATTTGACCCTGGATGTTCTAATCTAGAGACCTACAACCCCTAAAAGCACATGGCAGAGTCCTGATCCCAACAAAATCCCTTTTATTAAACGAATGTGAATTTATCTCATTCACATTCAGCAGGGCCTGGCAAACAGTGTTTCAAAGGAGTAATTATGACCACTGACCTTATCTATCTTGGAAAGCTGCCATGTAAATATTTTCCAAATGAGGTGCTGTGCAAGGAAAGACTAGGCACAGAGTCTCTGAGATTCAGGGACAGATCTTCACATTCCTGAAGCCCACTCTCATTTCATTCCTCTTTTATTTCCTATGGGAGGGGCCAATCACCTTCCACCGTGACTTTACTCCCAAGTCGTCCCTGATTTCTGGATTGTTCTTTTCTTCTGGCAGCTCTGCGCATGCACACACTGGGAACAGGCTCTAGCTGTTCCTCTGCCTCACTGCTGTCTAGCTCCATAGGCACCTGATCACTGTCAGATGGCCTCGGCCCCGTCTCTGTCTCTGACGCAGAGCCCTCATCTGAGTCTTTCCCAGGCTCCAGGACTGGCCCATGCTCCTCCCCCAACCTCCTCATTGTCCAACTCTCCTGCCAGCTCCTCTGGCCACTGGCGGCCACAACACTGGGACACTACCATCATAACTTCATGCCAGTTTCCAAGTGCCTCAGTTTTGACCACCTGACCATGCTTTCAGAATGCTGTGACAGGCATAAGGATGAGGACCAGTTGTAAGTCACTCTTTCTAGGACCACTGTACCTTCAAATAGTCACTAAATGAATGGTTATAAGTGAAGGACTACCTATATTGAGATTGTTTTCATCAAGATATATAAAGCCATTCTTAAAAAAACTTGTATGGTAAATCCTTGACTTACAACAGTTTATTCAGTGACTGTTCAAAGTTACGACAGCACTGAAAAATGTGACATGACCATTTTTCAAACTTACGAGTGTTGCAGCACTCCCATGGTCACATGATCAAAATGCAGACTTGACAACTGCCTCATATTTATGACGGTTGCAGTGATCAGCTTTTGCGACCTTCTGGCAAGTAAAGTCAATGGGGAAGCCAGATTCATTTAACAACCATGTGACTAACTTAACAAATGCAATGACTCACTTAACAACTGGGGCAAGAAAAGTCGTAAAATGAGACAAACTCACTTACCAAATGTTTCACTTAGCAATATAAATTTTGGGCTTCACTGTGGTCGTAACTTGAAGACTACCAGTACTATAGAATAATGGTCATAGTATTTGTTTCAGCTTTGACCTCTGAGTTGCACTGTGTTACATTTTGAAGGTCCTCAAAATTGACCCCCAAAGCACACATATTATGTAAGTGGTACAATTCTCTGCCCTCTCCCACATTTCCAAGTTTAGAAACAGCACTAAAACTCAATTATACCATATTGTGCTTCAGAAATATCTTAAACATCTATAAAATAAGCATAGCCGGTTTGGTCTAAAGTGCTGGCCTAGAAAGCAGGAAAATGTGAATTCTAGTCCCATCTTGGTGACTCTGGGCCAGTCACTTTCTCTCAGCCCCACCCACTTTATGGGGTTCCTGTTGTGGGGAAAATAGGAGGCGGAAGGAGTATGTCATGACCCGAGAGATGGCACAAAAGCAACACAACCAGAGAACAGGTCTAACTCCCCTTTATTGCTCCAACTGTGCCCCCAAATGTTCCCACAATTTACTACAAGTCCTGGAGCAAAACTCTCACACACACCTTCGGAAGCCTCTGGCTGCAAGTCGTCCAGTAAGCCAGGTTAATCAAACAGCAACCAGGGCCAGCAGTCCAATAAGCCAGGTTAGCCAAACAGTTACTAGAGCAAGAAGTTCAGCGAAGCAGGCAAACTGGTAAGCCCCATAAGACAGAGTATAGCAATCTCCAGGCTTCGGCAAGCACACACGAGGCTCCACAGATTTAGTCCTTGTTCCTGACAAATGCCCCTTCCTTCAGCACCTCCTTACATTTCAGTCCCCAGGTGTGCCTTGTGAAAGGGGGCGGGCATTCTCCTCCCTCATAGCTCAATGTGTGTTGATCTTGCCATCTCTCTTCCCTCCTTGCTCTCAGATCAGGAGGGGGTAGTCCTTTCTCTTCTCCTGAGCTTTCCCTCTCTGCAGGCCTTACTAATTCAGAAAAGCCTTGCCTGAACTGACTCTGCCCTTCCTCAGTTTCCTCCAAGGCCAACAGAGCTGGCCTCTCCATCTCTGTCAGTTCTTGTAATACATTTTATTTATTTCATTTTCATTTTCATTTTATACAATCACTTATATACTGTGCATAAAAAAAAAAAAAAAGGAAAAAAAAAACCCAACATAACACTTCATTCCCCCATACACCCTCTCTTCTCCCCCTCCAACTTTCCTTTCACCCCTCCA